AGATCTTCTGACAGTTTTTTAATAGGGTTGGGGGTGTTTTGCTATTGATCTGTCTGAGTTCCTCTTGTATTTTAAATATTAACCACTCAGCAGATATATGCTATGCAGATATTTTCTACCATTCAGTAGGTTGCCTAGGAAGTTCTGTTTTATTCTATTTAACAAGATGAATCATGTACGCAGTATTTCCTTTTATTGTGTCATGGAACTGAAAGTCACTACACCATGTTTATTTCAAACACCTCAACCTTTCATACCCAAGTATAAATATCTACACGCACACTCTCACACACAAGCTCCTGGTGCTAGCATTTCCTCTGAATTTGGGGCCCTTGAGCTGGCGATGTCATGAAACAGAGGAGTGCTGAAGATTGAGGGCGCACGGCTGCCTTGGGCCCAGCAATCTTTGCTGCCAGTTTGCAGTACTTCGTGATTTTTACATGTTGTACCATCACCTCATTGCTAGTAATTTTATCTTACCTTCCCTCCCTTTTTGTCTCCTCAACAGGAAAGCTTTGAATTTTATGCAAAGCAGTTGAAGGAATTAAGGGAAAACCCTTTGTGAAACAAGCATACCCTACTTTGTTTTGTGTGTATTTGTGATTCTGTCTAAAATGTTATTTTTTAAATGTATTTGAGAGGACAAAAATAAATAAATGACAAGTTAATCTATTTATGTGCTTGTATTTATTCCTAACACAGGATGGCTTGAGAGGGCGGGATGATGGAGGAGAGCCAAGAAAGAAATGTTGTTATGACATAGGCTATGCTTTTCTTCATCTTTTTTGTAGAGTTAGACCTAAGAAATCTCAGCCCCGCCAGTGCTGAGCCCAAGCCGAAAGGACTTTGTGACACCACCACCCCAGTGCAGGGCCTGTATATGTTGTGGTTATGATATTGTCTGATCTGCCATGAGCCTCACTCCATTAGTGATTCCGCTGCAGCAGACCTTATTTTTTGCAGTTATGCTAATTGTTGAGCTAAATTTTACTAATGTTCATTAACATAGGTCTCTGAAATGAGGCATAACCCTGGGACATAATCTGGTCTTCGCAGTCATCTTTGGGGAAACAGTACAATCTCAATTGTATGAAGTGACTCTAAGCCAGCTTTGTATGTTGACTCTGGTAAAATGTGGATGTAGTGCAGAGGAAATGGTCACAAATCCTCACCTAACATTCTAAACGGCAGGCTGGGGCCATTGAATATGTTACATGTATTAACAAAGCACTGTCCTGTCATATTTTTAGCACTGATTGGCTTTCCCTTTTGAACATGAGTATTTAAAATTTAATAATTGTATATTCTAGGTGGTCTTATGAATGCTTTCTAAATATCTACCAGTGAAATTAAAATAAATAGAAATACAAAGTAAACACAATTATAGCAACACTCAATAATACATTTTAGACTCAAATCATAAGCAAACAGCTAATTCTAAAAAGTAAATGTCATTGTAAACTTCCGGAAACTATAGTGTTTTATATGTAACTTAGCATCCATGTATTTGAGCCTAGTATAATTTTCATGTGAAATGCTTTGAATAAATTGTATTTCAAAAACCTGTGGGCTTCCTCATTTTTATTATGTCAGATTTTTGTATAGCCACTTTTAGCCATTTCGAGAACTTTACTCTTAACGTTTTAAATTTAAAATTGTGTGATGGCCTCTAGTTACCAGAATCTCCTTAGTGTACAGTTTGTGTGTGGAGAACCAATAAAGTCACTGTTTTAAGGACAAGCGGATAAGTAATGGGAGATCTCTGTGGTGCAGAGTTGGCAAGAATTCGTAGAGTTGGGTATAGTAAAGCAACTTTAAAATGTAGGGGATTTTATCTTTATGTGTCAGAAGAGCAGGAGCATTCTAAGCCGCAGGGCTCGGCAGCCTGCACCGGGCGGCAGCACTCCTTCCGCGGCCTTCCTCCGTGCTCACTGGGCTGGCCTCAGTGTCACCTGCCTGCGCTCTCCGCCCCTCTCCCCGCCCAGTATGGTAATTACTGTCTTTCTAGGGCTCCTGAAGCCTCGAGAAATGGCAAGTATCACACAGGCTGTGGACGCCCTGAGGACCAGTTCTTTGTTTCATGTGTGTCCCCGGGCCAAGCATAGTCCTGGTTTTGCGTTCACAGTAAATCGAGTTGCCTCTAGCAGGTCCTGTGGGTTCTTCACAGCTAACGCTGACCATGTACTACCCATGTGCCAGGCACCCCTCTAGCCTGATGTTCATGGTGAGAAAACATGGGCTTACGGAGTGAATATGCCCAGAATAACAGCCATATATCACATGGCTAGTACTCTGACTAGTCATTTAGTTACTATGAGAATACAAAAAAAAAACCTGAAGCAATCCAGCTAAAAGTAAAATTGGAATCTCTAAGAGCATTCTAATTTTTTTTTTTTAAAGCTTTTCATGTTAATACAAGTGTTCTCAGTCTCTGGACAGCTTATACTGTAGTTATTTTCTTCAATTTAATCAAATGCCCATTGCCTGGCATAATCACTGAGTTTGCAGATTCCAGTAAATTATTAAGCAAGCTTTATGTTGCAAATTGCTCTTCCCGGTACAATTTATTTCTCAAGTCCACAATGACTGAACTGCACACTTTTTCTCATGTCTTTGAGCACAATTGGCATTTAATATTTGTTTTCCTGACAAACCAATATTTGTAGAGGTGTTTTTTTTTTAAGTGAAAGCAACATTCCTGAAGTCTGATGGAACTCATAGCAGCAGGGGGTACAAAATCATGGTAATTTATTGCTTTGCTGTTGTACAGTCATGCACGCGAGTGTTTCCATTAGAAATGTATCCTGCAGACTTTACAAAGCCCACATTATGTAGCCTTAGTACAAATAAAAGAAATGGCTACATTAGCAAATTCAAAATAGGCACTTATCTTTTTCTTCTTTGCATGAAATAAAGAAACATGATTGTCTCCAGGTAGAGCAAAAACACTGAACCAAGTTCAGACTTGGCGCCCCTGCACATTTGTCTGGACAGTGGTCAGCTCTCAGCTCCATGCTTCGTTCTCTTGAACGTAGTATCACCACCAGCCCTGCCCCGGGTGTGCACTGGCTGAAATTGTCTTCATTATTTACTTGTTTTTGTCATTTCCTCCACAAGAGCATGAGCTCTCCAAGAGCTCTGCAGACCCAGCAGCGGAGCCTGGCACTGGTGGGTGCCCAGTAAACATCATTGAGTGAATCAGTGGGCATAGCACCTGTCTCCCATCCAAATCAGTTCTGTCTGAAATGTATGGTCTGTGTGCATTGGAGGGTTTTCTCACACACACTTATTTTCTTAAGAGATCAAAGATGCCACTTTGTAGCTCAGAGCTTAGATGTTGGGTTTGAGGCCCAAGAAGTCCTTTAAAACCTGTGTTCTTGCATGTAAACGTTTTCAAGTTTGCAGTGAGGAGGAGAGGGGCTCTCAAATGCGTGATGGAAATGCAGGTAACCTCAGGCTGAACACAAGCACGGTGCAAGAGTGCAGTGAACAGCGGAAACCGTATTGCTGACACAGGGCAGGGGGGCTTGTTAGCGGCTTGGGGAAACAAGTAATACCCCCAGTTTTACAAGAAGGCAGGGCAGTGGTACCAACAAATGTGAGCACTACTGCCCAGAACGGGAGAAGTGTAACCAGCCGTTGAGTTGGTGTGTGTTTGAAAGTCTCAGCCCACTGCTTGAAACATTATTGTTTTAATTATTAGCTGCTAACGCCACCTGCTCTGCTGGCGGGCCTGCCAGCCCGAGTGGGCTGTGCTCCGTCCGCCTGCCCCCCCTGCAGAAGCTGCCTCGGGCAGACCTTGCCCTGGGGCTCGGACACTGCCCTGCACCCCAGCCCCTTTAAAGGGAAAATCAATCCTATTATCAAAACCAAGTGACAGGTGACTTGAGATTTGAATTACATAGTTTAGACTATTTGCAAATAAGGATTTTTTTTTTTCAGGCATGAGCATTAGATGTATTTCCCAAATAAGC